GTACTAGAGCATGAGTATTGAAAAGTTCAAGATCTCCTCTTTTAATAACCTCCTTATAGCCATAAGGTAAATAACAGCCTGACTAGATCTATTTCTTAAACAGAAATGATGATAAAACACTCAGTACTTTTCCCTTGGAATTAAATAAAATAATGCACGTAAAAATACTGTGTAAATATGAGTCACTCTGTAAATATTAGCGTTAAAGTCATCACCAAAAACCCATAAACTGTTAATGAACTTCTTCAAAATATGCCTCTCCCAAAAGGCTTGAAAAGTGTTTCCACATTAAATCAAGTTGACCTGTGAGGCCAGAATAAACAACAACTCTTCTAACTAGCAGCCTCATTTCCATGGGTAAATTAGCTTCAAAAAAGGCAGGCATTGGCAAGAAGCCTAAGGCATGTTTGTTACCAGAAATAATCATACTGTATGAATGAGCATTTACTATGTCAAAAGGTTTTTTTTTAAAAAACATGTTTGGGTTTGTTTAACCTTAATCACAGCATTGCTGGCTGCCATTTTTGTATGGGCTCTTTCTCAGGTGGTTAATTTCTGGTGAGGACAGTGTTGCTGGTGGTGGTTTCTCCTCTGAGCCCAGCAGGGTGGCCTGGCTCAACTATGCATGGCCAGAAACATCATCTCTATGTAATTTCCTTTTCGGTGACAGGACAAAGAAAAATATATATTTCTTGGAAAATGTGTTTTGTACAGTCATCTTAAATTCCACAAGGGGGAAAAAAGTAAACTTCCCTTAAAGATATACATATTTAACACTTTCAGATTAAGACTTCTCCTTAGAAACAGTGATTTCATTAAAAAAAAAAAAAAAAAACTAGGATTCAGAGACTTGAAGGGTTCCACACCCTCAAAAATTAGAAAAATACTGACTTGGAGAATGTAGAATAGGTCAGACTTTTTTAAAAATCATGTTATCTTAATATCACCAGCAGCAAAACGTATTTGTTGAGTAATCACTAAACGTGGTCTATGTGGGCTGCCATAGTGGGAGGCCATATACAGCCAATTAACAGCTTCAGTTTCCATCTCCTGGAAGTTAAAAATCAGACACCTCAGCTTGGAAACAGGTTTATAAGCAGGTTTCAGCTTACCCCACTTCTGAAGGGGCAGCCTGGAACACGCTGACTCACAAGAAATCCTTGCAATCATAACAAATGGCTCATGTCCTACGTTAGGCTGACGCATGATCTTATCGTACCCTAGTGGGGAAAAGTCCTTCATTCTTAGATCTGTCCTCAATTCCAAATGGCCATGCCTGTCCTTCACAGAATCTGCATTTCTATGAGATTGACCAATGGCTAGTTTCTAACGTCCTTCACCTTCTTCCTACGCTGCAAACCCTAATGTAGTCGCTCTCCACAGACTCCCCTCCCTTTACAGCACCGCGTCTCTCACATCCCCACGTCCCATTTTCCCTCCCTGCTTCTTTTGCATTTCTAGATGCCCAGATTCAGTGAGAATTGGCAGCATTAAAAGCGCCACCTGTTTAGTTCAGTATCTGGAGCCCTTCCTCCTTGATGAAGGAAGAGAGGCACATGAACATTTTGCATGCTGCCGACAGCCTGGTTTACCCGCTCCTCTCAGGCAGTTCACTCCCAAACGCTAGCCATTCAAGATGTAGCCTGCTCAGCCCCATACTCTATACACAGCCCTGGATTTCTCTGAGCTGGGGAGACGTCTACCAGCCCTACAAGACTGCATTCTATTTCTTGGGGCTTATATACCACAACATGTGAAAACATGAAATCTCCAGCCTGTTCAGCTAAAATCTCAGCTACAGATAGTTGGCAGGGCCTTAGACCAGCACAGACATGCTTCGGTCACCTGGATTCCTTGACATGAACACAGAGCAGACTGCACGGCTCAGGACAGACTGAGAGTAGAGTCTCCCGTGGTGTCTTCCTCAGAATGCTCAACCTATTGTCCTGTTCCCATGAGACACACACGCATACAAGCATGCATGTACGCACACAGACTCACATGCACGCACACACTCAGACATGTACTCAACCACATTCTTCTAACCTCTCATGCTGTCTTGGAAGAGGTTTTATTGGCTGTGAAACTGGTTCCACATTGAATACGTTTGTCCCAGGATGCAGGAACTGAATCATTTCCCTGCAACGCTTGGTGACATTTCACAGAGTAGCCATTCTTACTCCTGAAGGGGAGATTCTCTGATACTGTTATTGAATGTTGAACGTATATTTTTGTATCTAAAAACTCTCCTATGTGATCTCTTCCTCTTTAGGTTTGTAGGAGCAGAGGAAAGGGAGAGATAGGGAGAATACCTAAAAGGGAAAAGGCAAAAGCTGGAGGCATTCCTCAGTTTAAGGGAGGAAATAAGAGATGCAGACTATAAAACAGGAGAAAAGACAACCATCTTGTCCTGCCAGGGAGAAGAGTTACAATGAACTGTTTTAGCTTAGTGCTTGAGACAGGCCCTGGGTTACAGCGAATCTGGGTTTCAATTCCAGCTCTAGTTTTTTTTTTTTTTTTTTTTTTTTTGAGATGGAGTCTTGCTCTGTCGCCCAGGCTGGAGTGCAGTGGCGCGATCTCAGCTCACTGCAACCACCACATCACAGGTTGAAGTGATCCTCCCGCCTCAGCCTCCTGAGTAGCTGGGACTACAGGTGCACACCACCATACCCAGCAAGTTTTTGTATTTTTGGTAGAGATAAGGTTTCACCATGTTGCCCAGGCTGGTGTCAAACTCCTAAGCTCAAGCAATCTGCCCACCTCAGCCTCCCAAAGTGCTGGGATTACAGGCATGAGGCACAGCACCCAGCCCCAGCTCTATCTTTAATGCTTTATTTAAGTCCCCTGATCACTCAGTTTTCTTATCTATAAAATGAGGGAGAGGTGGGGTAGTGGAGAGAATAACTCTAGTTACTTTACAGGATTGTTGTGAGAATTGAGTAAGATAATATATAAAGCAGTTGGCAGTTGTCACATATAGTAAATGGTCAATACATATTGATGATGATGATGGTGAAGATGATTGAGTCGGGGATCCCTAAGAACACCCTTAGGTTTAAATATTCACTAGACGTGGCCAGGCACAGTGGCTCTCGCCTGTAATCCCAGCACTTTGGAAGGCTGAGGCAGGAGGATCACTTGAGATCAGGAGTTCAAGATCAGCCTGGGCAACATAACGTGACAGATAATTGTCAGGGCCTTAGACCAGCACAGACATGCTTCGGTCACCTGGATTCCTTGACATGAACACAGAGCAGACTGCACGGCTCAGGACAGACTGAGAGAAGAGTCTCCTATGGTGTCTTCCTCAGAATGCTCAACCTATTGTCCTGTTCCCATGAGACACACACGCATACAAGCATGCATGTACGCACACAGACTCACATGCACGCACACACTCAGGCATGTACTCATTCTTAACCACATTCTTCTAACCTCTCATGCTATCTTGGAAGAGGTTTTATTGGCTTTGAAACTGGTTCCACATTGAATACGTTTGTCCCAGGATGCAGGAACTGAATCATTTCCCTGCAATGCTTGGTGACATTTCACAGAGTAGCCATTCTTACTCCTGAAGGGAGATTCTCTGATACTGTTATTGAATGTATATTTGTGTCTCTACTAAAAACCAAAAAAAATTAGCCAGGCATGGTGGCACGTGCCTATAGTCCCAGCTACTCAGGAGGCTAGGGTGGGAGGATCGCCTGAGCCCAGGAGTTTGAGGCTGCAGTGAGCTTGATTGCACCACTGTACTCTAGCCTGGGTGATAGAGCAGGACCCTGTCTTAAAAAAAAAAAAAAAAAAAGAGAGAGAGAGACTAAAAATTCCATAACTTAAGCAGAAGAGTAGACCCAAATCTGCCACAGCTAAACTGAGGAGTTTTGCCCTGTGTCCAGCCCAGACCTTGCAGAACAGGCTCATTCTCAAGAAGAGAGCCAAGCAGCTCCCACAGGAGCAGCTAAGAAGAAGAAGAAAAAACAAAAAAAAAAAAACAGGGAAGAGAATAGGGAAGGCCCTTTGGGAAGGCAAACCTAGCCCTTCATTTACATTTCAATACAGAGGGCAAAAACTAAGAACAGAATTTAGGAAAATGTCCTAAATGATAGAAGTTGGGTGAATTATTTGGCTTCTTTTTGTATATTTGTGAAATAAATACATATTAGGAGCAGGGGGAAAGCTTTCTGGAACCTTCATAGCTTTCCATCATCAGGGAAAAGTTTGCTTTGCTTTTTAACACATTTGTAACTAAAAGTCAAGCCTTCAAACAAAAACATAACGGGGAGAGGAGGGATGTGTGTTCTGCTTTGGGCTTGAACCTAAGGGGGAGAATTCCCCAAAGAGGAGACAAGCATTAAGAACCACGAGAAAGGATGAACAATTCTTTGAGCTTGTAGCCCAAGAGAGTGAAATGAGGCTGGGGTTTGACCACCAAGAACACAATATCACACAAACCATTTGACCAAAGGTGCACACAGGGCTATTATCATATCACTGTAAAGACGTCCAGGTGTGTGGGCTCCAGTGTACACACCTCCCAGACTAGCCACATCCCTACTCCCAAATGAATTCACGGGATGTGTAATTCTCCTTGGGATTCATACCTGGGAAGCAAAGAAGATAGGTAACTCACTGAAGTGCCCTCTTTCTAAGCCAGGCGCAGTGGCTCATGCCTGTAATCCCAGCACTTTGGGAGGCCAAGGCAGGTGGATCACCTGAGGCCAGGAGTTCCAGGCCAACCTGGCCAACATGGTGAAACTCTGTATCTACTAAATACAAAAATGAGCCAGGCATGGTGACACACACCTGTAATCCCAGCTACTCAGGAGACTGAGGCACGAGAATCACTTGAACCTGGGAACAGGAGGTTGCAGTGAGCTGAGATCGCACCACTGCGCTCCAGCCTGGGTGACAGAGCAAGACTCTGTCTCCAGAAAAAAAATTCTGAAGTGTCCTCTTGTTTAGCAACATTAGGTATAGCAGAAAGGATAACACTAACCCACCTTCTTTTCACAGTTGTCAGCTGAAGGGAATGACACAGTCCCATGCCCCAGGAGCCAGGAACATTCAGCCTCTTCTCATCCCAAAATTTTTTAAACCCAAACATTTGATGTAATGCTCCTGTTGAAATAAATGGTGTTATGGTATAGTAAGTGTTTAATTTGCTTTCTTTCTTAGATCCCAAGAGATGACCCTGAGACATTTAAACCTTGGTCTATCCCTATAGCATAACACTGCTATCATTCCCTAAAAGGTAAGATCGATAAGCTAAAAGATAATTATTCAAAGTGGGAAAAAAGTCAGCCAATCCAGGCTTTCAAACTTTGTTCTATAGAAATCAAGAATTGCACAAGTGCTTAAACCATGCTTCATTTTAAAGTCAGCATATCTTATCCGATATTTAAGTCCTTTAACACTAAATACGCATGGTTCTGGGAACTGACAAAGGATGGCCAGGGTGTTTCAATCAACATGGTAGTTTTTTTAATTTTAAAATAAAATATGAAAATACACTGGATTAAAATATTTAAAGAGCCTACTCCCTGATTCTTTTAAGAATCACAACTGGAATGCAAAAAAGCAAATTGAAATCTACTGATTACTCCATTTATAGTTAACTAGCACTATCTGGAAGAGTTATCTCTTTGTATTCACTGAGTTCAACTGCTACAGTTTTGTGCTGCTGCTTAACACTATACACAGAGCACAGAAGGCTTTGGAGAGTGGCCACAAAAACTCCTTAGGAAATATATGCTGATAAGAAGAAACATGTTTTTTTGTTACAAAATTAAACTTCTACTTTCTGCACACTTACTGGGCAATAACTGAAAACATTGTGGAATAGAGCAAACTATGACATAAACTCAGATAAAAATAAAATAAAATTTTTTCATTAAAATCTAATTTTCCAGTGTAATTGTCTAAAAACACCCACAAGTATTAATACATATAATATACATTTCATTCCATTGTGCTTTGTCATATGAGAACAACTTGTGTTGATATTTTTACTAAATCAGACTAAATAACCAATGAGAATTTGCTTCTCCTTTACAACAACAAAAATCAAAATAGGCAACACTTAAAATCACATCTTACATTATTGTAAAATAGTCATTTTAAAACACACACCAACAAGCCAGGCATGGTGGCTTATGCCTATAATCCTAGCACTTTGGGAGGCCAAGGCAGGTGGATGGCTTGAGTTCAGGAGTTCAAGACCAGCTTGGGCAACACGGTGAAACCCCGTCTGTACACCACCTGGCATGGTGGTACATGCCTGTAGTCCCAGCTACTTGGAGGCTGAGGTAGGAGGATTGCTTGAGTCCAGGAGATGGAGGTTGCAGTGAGTCAAAATTGTGCCACTGGACTCCAGCCTAGGCAACGGAGTGAAACCCTATCTCAGAAACACACACACAAATGCAGAGCAAATTATCTAAGCTCTTTAATTATCCTCTCTTTCTATCCTTCTTTCTCTTTCCAAGTATTAAAGTTAAATGTGAATATGATGGCAAATCCACTCTAATTCTTATGTACAACAAGGCATATAAAGTACATGGCATCATGCCTAACACATAGTACTCAACATAGTTACACACACACACACATGCATGCACACACACTCAGATAAAATGCCAAATTTAGACATCACCAGTGAATGAATGGGGTTGTCAAGTTTTTGTACAGACTTTTTTTTTGGGTGGGGGGAGGGACATGGTCTCACTGTGTCACCCAGGCTAGAGTGTAGTGGTCCAATCTCGGCTCATTGCAACCTCTGCCTCCCGGGTTCAAGCGATTCTCGTGTCTCAGCCTCCCGAGTAGCTGGGACTACAGGCACACGCCACCATACACAGCTGATTTTTTTGTAGAGACAGGGTTTTGCCATGTTTGGCCAGCCTGGTATCGAACTCCTGGCCTCAAGTAATTCGACTGCCTCGGCCTCCCAAAGTGCTGGGATTACAGGCGTGAGTCACTGTGCCCAGTCCGTACAGATGTTAAAATAAAGACCATCCTCTTCTATGCATGGTGGCTCATGCCTGTAATCCCAGCACTTCAGGAGGCCAGAATGGGAGGATCACTTGAGCCCAGGAGTTCAAGACCAGCCTGGGGGACATAGCAAGACCCTGTCTCTAATTTTTAAAAAATTAAAATTAAAAATTAAAGAATGTTTTAAAAGACCATCCTCAAATTGCAAGACAAATTTAAAAAACAAAAAAAACCTCTTGTCACTTTACCATTTATAATTACTTCTATGTGTCAGAATGTTACCCATGCCATGCAATCAACACAAGATGCAGATATAAATTGCATTCTGAATCTGTAACTGTCAACTTTTACCTACAATTTCAAATGTTTACATTCTTCAAAGTAACATAATTGGCTCTTGTATATTTGCTTCATAAGGAAGTATTCAACATTGATCTTATAAATCAAATTTATATCACACTAAAAACATATACATGTGAGTGTGTTCCCCATAACATTTTAAACCTCTGCTAAAAATATTCAAAAACTTCTGATGTCATCCAGCTTCTTATTTTATAAAGAAAGACACGGAGGGCACAGGAGAATAGTAAGTACCCAAATGTACTTATTCATAGCTGTAAATCTTATCAACCCAATTGTCAATCATTTATTGTTCTTCTCCCTATATATAAAGTTGAGAGATTTGCACACTTTATTTCATAATTATTGTCTTTTCTTTTTTTTTTTCAGGTGTTTCAGTTTTTCACAAGTAAAAAATGGCTTGTTAATCCTAACTGGGATCCAAACTGATATTCTTATACTGTTGTAGAAAAAAATAGACACAAAATTTAGAAACGTTATCCAACTTTGATTACATTAACCCAATGAATCATTATTTGCAAAGCATTTCACTTAGACTTTCCAGCCTAGAGGCCACCAGAAAAGCACTGCTGTATCCACAGTAAGCAAGTTTAGTGCTGATTTGTTTCTGAAAAGATCACGTAAATGTTGCTGTAAAAGCAAACTTTTCCTTTCTGTGTCCATCCAATCTAAATGGACTGGTAATATAGGTTATGATTATAGAAAGAAAGATACTTCTTGGTAGATAAATACATGATGACTTTTCCCAGTGGTGTATTTGATTCGGTAGCCACAAGAGAGTTCTGCAAGTTTTGTTTTGCCATAGATTGACCACAGGTCTATGTACGTGCACTTGACAGCAAAGGAGTGGTATTTCCCTCATGCACATCTACTATTCAACTGATTAACATTCTTTTGGATTTGGAGGAGGGGAAAAAGCAATATAAAAACATTTTCAATATCTTGCCCCCAACCCCTCTGTGCTGCTGCTGCTGTTGTTGAAAAACATCCAATCTGGTATCACAGTTTAAGAAATATTGCATATTTCAGTTTCCCATAGGTTGAAGTAAGAACATAGAGCGAAAGAATTATAAATTGTAATTACTCCCTACATTGTGGTTTAAAATATACAGGATCCTCTCTACCAATAACTTTGAGAAGGAAAAACAAAAGAAAAAAAGAAATAAGATATATGGGATCCACCAAATTACATTCATCTGAGTTTAGAGGTCTTCAGAGCGAGGAACCAGCATATAAATTAGGCCCTATTTGACCAGAAAGTCAGGGGTAAGCTGATTTTCTACTAGCCAGATTTCACACGATCAGGCTTACCAAGCCATGGTCTGCAGTGACCCCTGCAGTGGCTGAAGGAGGGCAGGCAGAGCTGAGAACGCTGGGCGCGGGGTGAGAGAAGGTAGGCAATAAGGCATAAATACAGCCTGGAGGAGGCTGAAGGTCCTTAAAGCCATGAGCACGTTGTTGTGAGACGCTGGGGCATAGCTGTCCACAGGCCCATCTGTGGACATCGGAGGCGTCCCTACACTACAGGAGCCCAAGGGATAAAGCAGGACAGGAGCACAAAGAGGAAGGAGGCAGGAGCAGAAGGGTTATGGGCAGGACAAAAATTACACAAGACACAGGAACATTAAGAGCTGAGAACAGTGGGAGTGGCTGGGGTGAAATAAGTTGAAAGCTTTTTTTTTTTTTTTTAGCTCTTTTGAAAATAATATCCTTAATCTAGTAAGAATGTGAGAAGTTTGTCTTATCATGTGTATCATTTTAAATGATGGTAAATATAATTCTATTTTTTTTTTTAGAATCTTTTCAGTTAGAGCTAAGGATGGTTACAGGGCATTTATTTTCCATTTGTCATGGTTCAAAACTATAAAGCACTAAAAATAGAGGAGCTTGAATAAAAATTATTTCTGTGAGTTGATGCACTAAAATCTGGGTGGCATGGATGTTAATAAAATAATTTTTTAAAAAGATACAGTTGGAGCCATGTATTTGAAACCAGTTCTTTGGGCTCAATAAACATTATTAAAATATGAAACAGACTAAAATGTTTAAATAAGTAAAACATTAACATGGCTTGAATGTTTGTAAAAAAGGTAAAGCAAAGACTTACTCTCATACTGCTATGGCCTGAATGTTTATGTCACCCCAGAGTTCATACATTCAAACCTAACCCCCAAGGTGGTGATGTTAAGAGGTGTGGCCATTGGGAAGTGATTAGGTCATGAGGACTCCACTTTCATGAATGGGGTTAAGTGCCCTTATAAAAAAAAAAGACCCCCCAAGAGTAAGTTAACCTCCTCCACTACGTGAGAACACTGCAAGAAGGCACCATCTATGAACCAGAGAGGGGGCCCTTATCAAATACTGAATCTGCTAGCACCTGGATCTTGGAATTCTCAGCCTCCAGAACTGGGTTCTGAGCAAAACGTTTCTGTTTATGAGCAAGACATTTCTGTTTATAAGCCAGTTTGTGGTATTTGTGTTATAGCAGCCCAAACCAACTAAGACACATACCACCCCCATTCATTCAATTCTCACACATGCACAGAGAATAACTTCTGCTTTCCCAGAAGGCCCAGCATGTAACCTGTCCCAGAATGCCCAGCCACTCTTAGCAAAATCAGAGCTACTCAGCTGGCCCTACAAATGGACAGGACACAACTGCCAAATGTCAGAATGTTTGAGGAAGGCTAGAGCAACAGCACAAGTACCTGGTTCCTGCCCCTATTTTCACACCTGCTGTGCCCCTTCTCTCTGTCTAGATAATTCCATTCTACCAGCTTCCCAACATCAGCGGCAGCCTGATGCCTGTAAGGGTGAGGAAGCATAACCCTTAATGCTCATCGTGGGCTTCATGGAACCTCCTACTTCTTACTCCCTGGGCCTTAGAGCACAGGAGACATTTGTACTATTGCCTTCTGAGCCTGGGTTCTCTGAGTAAGTTTTCTCTTTTGTAAAGAAAAACAGCCTGCTCCCGGTTCCATCCCAGAACAGTCAAAATTAATACTCTATCTGTCTCATAGAACTGAGTAGACAAACAGCAAAAAGATAGGCTTTCTAATTTGTAAGATGTCCAAAGGAAGTCAAAAACTTAGGCAGAAATAGTTGGAGACAGAAAATAATGGAATTTTCTCAGTCCCCCCACACAACCCTGAAAGTTGATGTTAAGATGTCACTGAGTACAAAGCAATAGTGTTCCTTCCTTTGCCAAGCCACAGCAGGACAGGCTCCCCTGTGCCCCTGTAACTTCACATTTAGATGATCTTACTGGCTAGCTATTGGTCTTGTTCCAAACCATGCTGCACGTAACTGCCAAGATAATCTTTCTCAACATCTGTAACCACCCACTATCACTGGGTAAAAGAGTTGCATTCAACAGGACAGTTTCTTCTTCCAAAAGGGACTTCACTGTCACCTGTGAAGTGGTGACCTGTTGTTTTTATCTGACTGCTGTCTCTTCTTTGGGAAATTATCCATCCTCCACTCCATGTGTTCCAAACAAGCTGCTGCGAAAGGTATGAGATAAGCTGGGTTAGAGTCTCTCCTGAGAGACAGGCGCTTGCACAAGGTACACAAGCTAAAGGGCCACTGTAGCAGGTCGCCTGGATGGCCACGGTGAGTCCACAAGCTCCTACTGCTGAGCTCCTCGGAAGTGCCCTCGTTCCTGCGCCTCGTTCTTCAGCTCTGCCCTCAATTCTGTGACCTACCCAGCACCTTTCCAGTGGTCAGTTTCCTAGGGTTGCTGCAACACATATCACAAGCTGGGTGGCTTCAGTATGTATTCTGTCACAGCTCTGGAGGCTAAAAGTCTGAAGTCAAGGTGCTGGCAGGACTATGGGTTCTCAGGAAGAATCCTTCCTCGCCTCTTCGGGCAGCTCCTGCTGTTCCTTAGGGCTGCATCACCCCAGCCTCTGCCTCCATCATCTCATTGCCTTCTTCCCAGTGTGTCTGTATCCAAATCCTCTTCTTTCTCATAAAAACACCAGTCATGGCCGGGCGCGGTGGCTCAAGCCTGTAATCCCAGCACTTTGGGAGGCTGAGACAGGCGGATCACGAGGTCAGGAGTTCGAGACCATCCTGGCTAACACGGTGAAACCCCATCTCTACTAAAAAATACAAAAAACTAGCCGGGCGAGGTGGTGGGCGCCTGTAGTCCCAGCTACTCGGGAGGCTGAGGCAGGAGAATGGCGTAAAAACCCGGGAGGCGGAGCTTGCAATGAGCTGAGATCCGGCCACTGCACTCCAGCCTGGGCGACACAGCGAGACTCCATCTCAAAAAAAAAAAAAAAACACCAGTCATTGGGCCGGATGTGGTGGCTCACACCTGTAATCCCAGCACTTTGGGAGGCCAAGGTGGGCAGATCACAAGGTCAGGAGTTTGAGACCAGCCTAGCCAACATGGCAAAACCCCTTCTCTACTAAAAATACAAAAATTAGCCAGGCATGGTGGCAGGCACCTGTAGTCCCAGGTACTCAGGAGGCTGAGGCAGGAGAATTGCTTGAACCTGGGAGGCTGAGGTTGCAGTGAGCCGAGATCGCGCCATTGCACTCCAGCCTGGGCGACAGAGCGAGGCCCATCTCAAATAAATAAATAAATAAATAAAATAAAACACCAGTCGTTGGATTTAGGGCCCACCTTAATCCAGTAAGACCTTTTCTTAGTTTAATTAATTATACTTGCAAAGACTTCATTTCCAAATAAGGCCACTTCTGAGGTTCCAGGTAGACACGAATTTGGGGGGACACTATTCAACCCTCTCTACCAATAAACCTTGCTGAGGCTAATGGATAGTTTTGGGGTAGAAGTGACCCTCTCTCCTTTATGCCCCTATTGTGTCTGGTTCTTACATAACACACAATCTGTTTGTCTGCATGTGTATCCTTTCTTTCTAGACGAGCCACTGTCTGATGACAGGGATTGTGTCTTACTCATCTCTTACCACAGGGTCTATCTCAAACTGATACTTACACATGTATGATTAAGGAACAGCCAAAGAATGTGCTCTATGACAACAAAAGTACAGATGAAACCTACACTGTGTAACTCAGATACCCGTGAGCCAGGAGATCTAAGGAAGGTAAAAAGAAAGAACCTACAGTTATTTGACAAACAAACCAGGTTTCACTGTTTTATTGGATATAAATCTGCTGGAGCCACTATTTATTTTACTTGCATGTATTAAGCAAAATTTTCCAAAACTTGGAAACAATGCAAAAAGAAACAAAAATACTGTGAGACGTTTCTTTTCTTTTAGAAACAGGGTCTCACTCTGTCACCCAGGCTGGAGTGCCCTAGTACAATCATGGCTCACTGCAGCCTCAAACTTCTGGGCTCAAGCAATCCTCCCATCTTGGCCTCCAGAGTAGCTAGGACTACAGGAGTGTGCCACCAGGCCTGGCTAATTTTTTAATGTTTTGTAGAGATGGGATCTCCCAATATTGCCCAGGCTGGTTTCAAACTCCTGGCCTCAAGCAAACCTCCCCACTCAGATAACTTGTCAATGTTATCCTCCAGCACTGTCTAATAAACCCATTACAGAGTAATCTGATGCTCTAGGGCTGCCCTATCTATATGGTAGCCACCAGTCACATGTGGCTATGTACATTTAATTTTTAATTATTGAAATAAAAAATTCAGTTCCCTAGTTTCCTTAGCTACATTTCAGGTAGTGTATTCAGTAACCACATGCAGCTACTGGGTACCCTATTAAACAGCACAGAAAAGACCAGTATCCATCACTCCAGAAAGTTATATAGATGGGTTTGCTCTAGGGAAATGTAACTTTGTATATCTACTATTTATTAGGGCCTAGACCACATTAGATCATGTGGTATGTAGAATGACAGCACGCCAAAGACATCCATGTCCTAATCCCTAGAATCTGTGACTATGTTAGGTTACATGGCAAAGGGAAATGAATGCTGCAGATGGAATTAGGTTTGCTAATCAGGTATCCTTAGAATAAAGAGATTATTCTGGCTTATTGGAATGGGCCCTATGTAATCACAAGAATCCTTAAATGTGGCTGGGCTCGGTGGCTCATGCCTGTAATCCCAACACTTTGGGAGGCTGAGGCGGGGTGGATCACGAGGTCAAGAGATTGAGACCATCCTGGCTAATATGGTCTCTACTAAAAATATAAAAAATTAGCCAGGCATGGGGGCGGGCACCTGTAGTCCCAGCTACTCGGGAGGATGAGGCAAGAGAATGGCATGAACCTGGGAGGCGGAGCTTGCAGTGAGCTGAGATGGTGCCACTGCACTCCAGCCTGGGCAACAGAGCGAGACTCCGTCCCCCAAAGCAAAAGAATCCTTAAATGTGGAAAAGGGAGGCAGGAGAGTTAGTATTAGAGTAGCTGGCTTTGAAGACGGCTTTGAAGATGTCAGGGGCCACAAGCCAAGGAACGCAGGCAGTCTCTGGAAGCTAGCGAAGGTGATGAAACACATTCTCACCTAGAGTCTCCAGGCAGAATGCAGCCCTGCTAACACCTTGATTTTAGCCCAGTGAGACCCATTTTGGAATTCTGACCTTCAGAACTATAAGATAATAAATTTGTGTTGTTTTATGCCACCAAGTTTGGGATAATTTGTTATAGTTGTAATAGGAAATAATACAGATGTTAACTTGCAAAACATTGATAAATCACAAAGAATTGCTGTAGAGTTGAAAAGAAAACCCCCAAGGTTTCAGTTTTATTGCCCTTAGGACATTAACCAGTTTTGTTTTGTTGTTTATTTGGGTTTTTCCCCCCCAATCTGCAATCTTATTCTGATGTTCTTTTTTTCATATTGGTTTTTCACATCTTCCTTTCAACTTGCTTTATTACACTCGCTCCTTCATTGACTATATCTTTGACATCTGCTCACTACATATTGTATAGGAGTCACTATATATTGTATAGCTTTAAGGTCACAAGTGGTTTTTGGTTCCATGGATGAATCGTATAGTGGTGAAGTCTGGGACTTTAGTGTACCCATCACTCAAACAGCATACATTGTACCTAATAGGTAGTTTTTCATCCCACACCCTTCTCCCACCCTCCCTCCTTGGTTTATATGCTTAAAGTTAGATGCTGACATGCAGCCAGCAAAGGAAAAATAAACAAACACAGGACTCTGAGGTTCTTCCGTATGTAAGAAGAGCCTACATAATTTATACAGTGATTAACCTGATGAATATAGTTTATTTACAATTTAAATGAATAAATTTAATATTCTTCAACAAATATAATCTATTGACTAAATGTAACTAATGATGAACCTCCATACAGACAACCCCATTAAAAAGTGGGCAAAGGACGTAAACAGACACTTTTCAAAAGACATACAAGTGGCCAAAAAGCATATGAAAAACAGCTCAATATCACTGATTAGAGAAATGCATATCGAAACCACAATGAGATGCCATCTCATACCAGTCAGAATGGCTATTATTAAAAACTCAAAAAATAACAGATGCTAGCAAGGTTGCAGAAAAAAGGGAACGCTTACACACTCTTAGTGGGAGTGTAAATCAGTTCAACCATTGTGGAAAGTAGTGTGGTGATTCCTCAAAGAGCTAAAAACAGAACTACCATTTGACCCAGCAGTCCCATTACTGGGTATGTACCCAAGGGAATATCAATCATTCTACCATAAAGACACATGCACACAAATGTTCACTGCAGCACTATTCACAATAGCAAAGACATGGAATCAACCTAATACCCGATATGGTCTGACTTTGTGTCCCCACCCAGATCTCATCTCAAATTGTAATCCCCACGTGTTGGAAGAGGGGCCTGGTGGGAAGTGATTGGATCATGGGGCAGATTTCCCTCTTGCCATTCTGTTGATAGTGAATTCTCATGAGGTCTGGTTGTTTGAAAGTGTGTAACACCTCCTCCTTTGTACTATCTCTCTCCTGCTGCCATGTAAGATGTGCCTTGCTTCCCCTTTGCCTTCTGCCATGATTGTAAGTTTCCTGTGGCCTCCTAGCCATGCTTCCTACACAGCCTACAGCACTGTGAGTCAATTAAACCTCTTTTCTTCATAAATTACCCAATCTCAGGTAGTTCTTTACAGTAGTGTGAGAACAGACTAATACAATGCCCATCAATGAGAGACTGCATAAAGAAACTGTGGTACATATACACCATGGAATACTATGCAGCAATAAAAAAAGAACAAGATCATGTCTTTTGCAGGAACATGAAGGGAGCTGGAGGCCATTATCCTTAGCAAACTAATGCAGGAAGAGAAAACCAAATACTGCAAGTTCTCACTTATAAGTGGGAGCTAAATGAGATGAGAACTCATGGACACAAATAGGGGAACAATAGACACTGGGGCCTACTCGAGGGTGGAGGGTGGGAAGAGGGAGAGAATCAGAAAAAATAATTATTGGGTACTAGGCATAGCACCTGAATGACAAAACAACCTGTACAACAAAGCCCTATGATATGAGTTTACCTATATAACAAACCTGCACATGGACGCTGCAACCTAAAATAAAAGTTTAAAAGCA